CGCTACAAGAGATCCTTCCTGCCCACAGCCATCAGCATCTATAAGAACTCATTAATGAAACCAGGATGATGAGTTACCACTACATATAATTTCCCTCTGGGATTAATAAAGTATTTTTGAATTGAATTGAATTATTGACATTTGCCATCTCCACATCATTGCATTCAATTTTTATTCACAATTTGTTTAGTGTCCCAACTTTTTTGGAATCCGGTTTATAGATTTATTGGATCTTTGGCTGTCTTTGTAAACCATAAAAGTCTCTTTTGACATTTCCCAGACTTAGAGATGCAGAGGACAACTTCCAGGAAACAGGAGCAGAGTAGGAGAAGACCCTTTAGCCTAGTTCAGTTCTCATTGAGGGAACACTGCAGGTAATAATGTCCTGAGAGTGCACGCTGTAGCTGCACTCACACAGAGACATGTAGGAGGAGATGTATGAAGGCAGCAGACCAAGAAGTGATTTAAAGATGAAAATGTACAAGTGGGGGAGTCTGCGTGAAGTTAATGATGTCCAATTAACAAGTAAATACAGGCTGCAATGGTGGGTACGGTCATTACAGCCAGTTATGAATCTTAATGCACCATGATAGACAGCATCCAACATCTGCAGGGAGCTTGTACGAGCGTTCATATAGATAATGTCACCATAGTCAATGGAAGGAAGGAAAGTCGCAGTTACAAGGCGTTTCCTAGCATTCAAAGTTAGACAGGATCTGTTTCTGAAAAAGAAACCCAGTTGAACTTTCAGTTTCCTTACTAAGTTATCCACATGAAGCTTAAAAGAGAGATGTGAGTTGACCAAGATACCCAAATATTATAGGAATTATAGGAATCAACAAACTCAATAAGGACACCATTTGAGGATAAAATCAGAGGAAGAACTGCTGGGACTGACTTCCTGTTTGAAAAAAGCATCCCTTTGGTTTTATCAGCATTTAGGACAAGTTTGAGATGGAGCAAGTCTGACTTAATGATGTCAAAGGTGGATTTCAAAAGGTGAAAAGCCTTAGCAACTGTTTTAGCTCGACAATAAACAACTGTGTCATCAGCATAGAAATGTATGG